AATCCTCTCAACTAAATATTGATTTGTTCACAAAAATTTTTTTTTATCCTGTTCGGTTTCATTTAAATTGAAGAAATTGTATACACAAGTTGCCTATTTATTCATTACACCTGAATTTACCTGTATTTACCTGTAAATGCAGTTTTCCTCATTGTTGTTGCTGTTACAGTTATTATCATTTGAAATGTTTTAATTTAAAATGGTTAGTGAAACATTTAGTGACAATTTGTATATTTCTTAGTACACCTCAATTTACCTGTATTTTCACCTGTGATACTCCATTTTATTTTTTAAACTTTTAACTTGTTGTTTCCAAAATTCATTATTTATGTTGTTTTTTCTTAAATTAATAAATTTTTGAGAAAACAAAATACTTTTATCTTGGTTTATAATTTTTACCTGAGCCACACCTGTATTTACCTGGGTAAAATTGTTCCAATTACAAAGTTTTTGCATTTTCAAATAATGTGGTGTATAAGCATATGTCTCACCAAGTTTGGTGAATTTTGATAACATAGTTGTAAAGATATAATAATTTTAGATTTGATCCTGGCCTAAAATTTATTCACTAAAATTAACTCCCCCACAGTGGTTCACCAGTTGCGAAAAATTGCCCCCTAAAAGGGTTAAAGGGGACATGCTAGTCGAAAACACACTTTTGACTATAACTTTTGATTGAGTAAAGATAACTAAATGAAATTTGGACAGCTTATTAGGGCTGTACAGGCTAACCTACATGTCAAATTTCAAATCTTTACAATGAGTACAACCTAATAATATTACAAGTTGTAAAATCCTCACCCCCTACGCCAGATGAAAAAAAATTGTTTGTGGCAGGTTATCAATCTATGAGTGTAAATTTAGTTTTTAAATATTCCTAAGTCAATGGTCTATGCAGCTATGTGGGTTTTTATACGCCCACATTTTCATGTGGACGTATTATGCCGTCGCCCCTGTCCGTCCGTCTGTCCACAATTGTTTGTGGACTCTCTACAGGTCACAATTCTTCTCTGATTTTGATAAAACTTGAAATATAGGTTTATCCCCAAAAAATCTCGGCTGCTTTCGATATTGGCATGTATCGGATCGAAACTTCATGGATTATGGCCCCTGATTGTACGAAAAATCACGTTTTTAGCTTGTGGACCCTATAGAGGTCACAATTTTTATCCGATTTTTTTTAAAACTTGAAATGTAAGTTTATAACCCAAAGATCTTGGTTCCTTTCGATATTCGCGCATATCGGACCGTAACTTCCTGAATTATGGCCCCTGATTGTATGAAAAATTGCGTTTTTAGCTTGTGGACCCTATAGAGGTCATAATTTTTATCCGATTTAAAAAAACGTATTATTTTATCACCGTTACACCCTAAGCACGACTGAGTTTGAATTTCGTGAAAATCGGCCGAAAACTGACAGATAAAATGGCCGCCCCTTCGTTCTCAAATAGCGTAAAAATAGGGTATATTAAAGTTGTGGACCCTATAGAGGTCAAAATTTTTATCCGATTTTGTTGAAACTTGAAATGTAAGTTTATAACACAAAGATCTCGGTTACTTTCGATATTTGCGCATATCGAATTGTAATTTCTTGAATTATGGCCCTTGATTGTAGGAAAGGTCACTTTCTTCTTAGCTTGTTCTCTATCCATCTCTCGAAAATGTGGGCGTATCCTGCCTGGCAGCCGCTGGTTTTAATGAACAATGATTATTTTACGTTTTACAGAACTTGGTGGTGAGTTCATCAATTTTCGTTTTTTGTCACCATACTTCATAGACATACAAAAAAAAATCTGTTTGTTACAGAGGTATGGAAAAGCCACCATGTATTGTTTACACCTTCAAGAATAATCCCTCCAAATTTCAGTTCTTTATCTTTATTAGTTTTTGAATGTCATCGAACGGAAAATGAGAAATTCAGAGTTGAAGTTTCACCATGGTTTATTTTTTGTTTAAAATCACTGGAAGAATATGTTTGACAATTACATGCCTAGCTTATACCTTCAGGATCAATCCCCATAAATTGCAGGTCTTTATCATGAACAGTTTTAGAGAACCATTTTCTGGAATATCACTAAGCATAAGAAAAAAGGCCGAAAATGAAGAAATTCAATGTTTGAATATTCAAATGTTGTTTTGTTGGTTCACAATTGCCCAGAAGAATATGTTTGATAATTGCATGTATAGCTGACATCTTAAGGAATAATCCCTGCAAATTTCAGGTCATTATCTTTAATAGTTTTAGAGAACCATTTTTTCTAATGATGTGTATAAAAAGCCGCGAAAACCGCGAAATAGTTTTGTGGGTTCAAAGGAAAAAGAAAAAGTTAGAAGCTTATTATCTATATATAGGTACATGTATAGCTTACACCTTCCAAAAATGATTCCAACAATTTACAAATTTTAGATTTTTATCTTGATATTGAAGGTAAAAAAAAATAAGCAAAAATTAAGAAATGTTTTGCTTTTTGTTTTTAGGGGGGTGGTATAAGTCACCCAGTCAACATCTTTTTTTTTATTTTGGAAAGTTGAAAATTTTTTGTAATTGAAATTGCCCGGAAGAGTACGGTACAAAAGCTGATGTACCTTCAATAATTAATATTGAATAATCCCTATAATAAATGTCGATGTTTTATTACAAATCGTTTTAGACTAGAGAAGCATTATTTTCAGTATGGTTGACCTAATCCCACTGCCCTTCTTTTCTTTTACCGAACAATTCCATAATTGCCGTGAAGAATACGTAAATAACCTATTTTTAGAACAGAACTATGAAAATAACGGTAAATCATCGTGAGTAGTCGGGATTATTGCATTATCATTCATAATAGACAATTTCTGGATCTGACAACCGAACCTACTCAGTTAAATTCGGGTTGCTAGACGGTGGGCTTCGCGGAGTCAAAATTTGATGTGCGCATGCGCTGTTGGAGTTGTTTAGTTCATGACCCTACTCGACCCTCCTAATAAGGAAATTTCCGTAAAATGTACCGCTTGCATTCAGCCGAAGGATGCCGATATCTAACTGGAAGAATAACAATGAATTTATTTTAGTCTCGCAGTTTAGTGCATGCGCTTTTGAACGATATGTACAAAATGGCCGTCACTTGAACGTTTTAGACGTTATTAGAAAAAGCGTATTTTTTCCGAATTTTCAGTCAAATATAACAGAAAAACAGCACCCCCACGCCAAGTAATGACCCTATTCAAAATAAAAATAAGTTATTTGACAAAAAATATATATTTCCTCGGATAAAGGACATAACAAAGAAGCCAAAAAAACATAAATCTCAAAATCGTATTTTTTTACATTTTTTAATCATTTCGACCCGCACGTCCAATTAATTAACACACCGTACCTACAGATTTTAGCCTCTTCGTATTAGATTTGTTGCGATAATTAGAATTTTACCGATATTGGTACAAATTTACTAAAAAGCGAGAAATCTATACTGTAAACATACAAATGGAAACAAATTATGTGTATTGCCCGCCTCGAAATTGTCAACGGGAGTGCATCGTCTACATTGTCACTATGCACTCAGCCATTTTACGGTTTGCTGCTTTGAAACACGTGTAAATATGTTCTAGTGTATAGGAAATACAATAGATGGCACTTGCAGTTACGGTACTAATTTTAGCGAGGGCTTCACTGAGTCCACGGTAATACCGGGTACGCATATTTTAACGGCATTTTATAATACCCAGTACTACCGGGTAGACGCAATGAAAGGGTTAAAAGACGTAAAAGATATCGTAGACAAAATGACTGTCCTACTACTACTACCTGGTGCTTTGACGGCTGCTTCCACAGAAGGGGGGTATAGATGGTTTCCTCCCACTGCTAAAGACCCCTACGCACAAGCAAATTATTGAAATAAAATTAAACCATGTTAGTCTCGAAATGACCTAGTTTGTGTCGAGTGGACGTTAAACCCCATTTCTCTCTCTCTCTGGCTTCCACAGAAGTGATAGCGCAGACAAGACATAGGAGAGCCGAGGCTTAACTTTCTGTTTTTAGAATATGATTTTGCAATCTTTCCATTTGCGGTCTTAGGCCATGGAGTAGGTTTAGTTGGATATGTATTGTTTGGTTGAAATGACTGTCTATTGTTTTAGGGTGTTATATACTCTTACGATATGTGACATGTATGACTAGTTTTTAGATGCTGTCGGCTCTCATCAATGCGATTAAAATGTCCTCCAATGGAGAAACCACGAGGTAAACACGTGGATTAAAATTATAATCACTTGTATTGGATTTATGAATAGTCCGACAGAGGGGAAGCAATGACTTCTGTTTAAGATTAGATTGATAAATTGTCTGACAAAGGATTAAGACAGACAATCATGGCAGATTAAGTAGTTAATCAAGGTAGGTGTTTAGACGGTATAACACGATAAATACGTTGATCAATTAATTATCTAATCAATCCAGCCTATTATCAACGATAATCAGGTTGAGTGGTAGTTATACACTCAGTACACTATACAATTTTGGAATTTTGAATATTATTCACCATGTCTTGATGTCTTGATATTCCTGTTAGGACAATTTTGGGCGTTTGGAAAATAGCGTCGGACAAGTCCGGATATACGGGCGAAATCCCATCCCTGGTTATAACCTCTTTTCTAAAATCCTTAGTTTTCATTGGATTTTCTTAAAATTATGAGAGGATGAAACTTATCAATAGTCGAATTTCAACGATCTTCCCTTCCAGTGTTATTCCACCTTTTTTGAAACCCTTCTGAATGCGATAGAAGCCATAATTTTACCTGACATTTTGAGAGATATTAAAATATCAATAAAACAAAGAAAAAAGATAAATCAGTGGCAGACAAAATGACAGGCACCTGAGAGATTGTGCCTGACATTGTCTGTGACTCCAGAGATATACATGTATCTGCCATGTGGGCGTATTTCCACGCTTTCTGTTACTACATGTATCTATTTGATAATTTTATTGCACTATAACATGATTGTAATTGTTTATCTATAGGTATTATACCTGAAGAAAGATTGAGAGAATTACTTACTACCATGGGAGATAGATTTACTGAAGATGAGGTCAGTATCCCTCAAATATCTGAATATTATTAGAATTTATGCAATTTATAACAAATAGAAATATTTGATGTACATGTATAAATGAGCATTGATATAAACCTGAAATTAGAATTGAATTTTATTTCTAATCAAATTTTCTCCTTTAGGAATTCTATTGATTTTGAACAGTTTCTGATAATTTCTTTCAGAGTTAAACTACTTATTATTATAGCATAGCCCTTGATCAGCTTCAAAAATTTTGTGGATATTCTACCTTCAGAATAGGTTATCATTTCATTAAAGGACAATATTGGTGTCAGTCATTATTACATATGTGATAGAACTGGTTAAATACATTCCAAATATAATTTCAACACAGAGATCATTGCTATGGTAGATGTGTAACAAGCACGTGAAGAAACGCGAAATGACGCCAAACATGACAAACACGAGTTATCCTTCTATATAACTGAATGAAGTAACGAGCGATAACAGACAAACGATCGAATTTCATTTCACTAATAATTCCATTGAAGATGAAAAGTTATTATATGGGACGGTGAGAGGGTATCTCACAATTCAAAAATAGAATTGGCTGTCACTAGATAAGGGAAAACGAGAAAAATAGAAAAATCCTGTGCATTCCCTCGTTTTTATTCATTCTGTTCTTAATAAAAACATGGTAATGCACAGGCTTTTTCTAATTTGTTTGTTATCTTTTATCTACTGACAGCCATTTCTTTTTTTGAATTGTCAGATATCCTCTCAGCGTCTCATATAATAACTTTTCATCTTCAACTGAATTATCAGTCAAATGAAATTCGATCGAGTGTCTGTTATCGCTCGTTTCTTCAGTTAGTTATATAGAAGGATAACTCGTGTTTGTCATGTTTGTCGTCACTTCCCGTTTCTTCACATGCTTGTTACACATCTCCCGTAGCAATGATCTCTGTGTTAAAAAATTATATTTGGGATGTATTTAACCAGTTCTATCACATATTTTATAATGACTGACACCAATATTGTCCTTTAAATTAATGCACCTTGTCCATGTTTGTATGGTTGCCAATATTAAAGAAGTTAAGTGTAAATTGTAAAGAGTAAAATGTACCAAGTCCTAATGACGAAGTGACACCGTCTGCTAAATGATAGCATTCGTTGTACGACAAAGCACATTTTTATACGCCCACATTTTCATGTGGACGTATATTGTCATCGCCCCTGTCCGTCCGTCCGTCCACAATTTGTTTGTGGACACTCTACAGGTCATAATTCTTATCCGATTTTGACGAAACTTGAAATATAGGTTTATCTCCAAAAGATCTCGGTCCAAAACTGACAGACAACATGGCCGCTCTTCGTTCTCAAATAGCGTAAAAATATGGTATATCAAGGTTGTGGACCCTATAGAGGTCACAATTTTCATCTGATTTTGATAAAACTTGAAATACATATTTATAGCCCAAAGGTCTTGGTTCCTTTCTATATTTGAGGATATCGGATCATAACTCGTTTTTATACGCCCACATGGAAATGTGGTCGTATATTGCCGTCGCCCCCGTCCGTCCGTCCGTCCGTCCATCGTCCACAATTTCTTGTGAACACTCTACAGACTACATTTATCAACCGATTGTTTTGAAATTGATATATGTTGTTTGTATAAGTGAGATGAAGAAGCCTATTTAATTTCAATAACTTCTGTTAATTTCTTCTGGAGTTATGGCCCTTGTTTCACTTTGTTGCACCTTGTGAACGCTCATGCATCATTTAAATTAGTAAAACAAGGAAGCCTATTGAATTTCAGCAATTTCCGTTAATTACATCTAGAGTTATGGCCCTTGTTTTACTTTGTTGAATCTTGTGAACGCTCTAATGACAAAAGTTATCAACCGATCTGTATGAAATTGATATTCATCATTTAAATTAATGAAATGAAGAAGCCTATTGAATTTCATCAATTTACGTTAATTTCTTCTGGAGTTATGGCCCTCGTTTCACTTTGTTGCACCTTGTGAACGCTCTAACGACAAAAGTTATCCAACCGATCTGTATGAAATTTATATGCATCTTTTAAATTAGTAAAACAAAGAAGCCTATTGAATTTCAGCCATTTCCGTTAATTACATCTAGAGTTATGGCCCTTGTTTCACTTTGTTGAATCTTGTGAACGCTCTAATGACAACAGTTATCATTTGACCTGTTTGAAATTGATATGCATCATTTAAATTAGTGAAATGAAGAAGCCTATTGAATTTCAGCAATTTCCGTTAATTTCTTCTAGAGTTATGGCCCTTGTTTTACTTTGTTGCACCTTGTGAACGCTCTAATGACAAAAGTTATCAACCGATCTGTATGAAATATATATGCATCATTTAAATTAGTAAAGCAAAGAAACCTATTGAATTTCAGCAATTTCCGTTAATTACATCTAGAGTTATGGCCCTTGTTTCACTTTGTTGAATATTGTGAACGCTCTAATGACAACAGTTATCATCCGATCTGTTTGAAATTGATATGCATCATTTAAATTAGTGAAATGAAGTAGCCTATTGAATTTCAGCAATTTCCAATAATTTCTTCTGGAGTTATGGCCCTTGTTTTACCTTGTTGCACCTTGTGAACGCTCTAACGACAAAAGTTATTATCCGATCTGTATGAAATTTATATGTATCATTTAAATTAGTAAAACGAACAAGCCTATTGAGTTTCAGTTATCACCTAAATTAGTGAAATGAAGACGAACAAGCCTATTGAATGTCAGCAATTTCCATCAATTACGTCTAAAGTTATGGCCCTTGATTTACTTTGTTGAACTTTGTGAACTTTCGAACAACAAAAGTTATCATCCGATCTGTTTGAAATTCATATGCATTTTTTGAATTATTAAAACGAAAAAAGCCTTTTGAATTTGAACAATTTCTGTAGATTGCTTCCAGAGTTATGGCCCTTGTTTTAGATTTTAGAACCTTGTGAACCTTCAAACAACGGAAATTATAATGTCATCTGTATGAAATTGTCTATTAAATTCCCCTAATTACCTACAAAAGAATCGGACGATTTAGCTACTGTGGGCGTATGTTTTGTTGCCTGGCAACCTATCTTTAGCTTGTGGTACCACTAGAGTTTTTATAACTTTTTATGAGGCAATTTGTCACAATTCCATATTAGACCGATCTAAAGTTCATTTTATTGCCTTTCTGATGCTACTAAAATCAATAAAATCGAAGCATGTTAAGTTCTGCCACCGAGCACTTGAAAATGGTATATACCGGGAAATTTTGTTGAAAATGATATCTCGTAGTTTCCGCTAGAAACAACTGGAAGAGGGGTACAAATTATTGGATTGCCGAAGGCGCTCCATAAGCGCCATAGGCGCGAGGCTACTACCAGGGGGGTCTGGGGAATAAAACCCCAGAAAATGTTTTCTTCGCGAACGCTGTAAATCCGTTTTCCGAGCATCTCGGAGAAGAAAATTCACCGACCTAATTCCATCGTTTCAGGAGGAAAAAATCTCAAATTCGGCATGACAGACCCACAAGTAGCTGTTTAATGTATGATTCCCATGTCATTCTCAAATAAAGTTCACTTATTTAAGCACGATTTTTCAGATATTAATTGCCGATTCTACCATCACGATGTATGTTTTGTTTACACGCAGTCATCTGGTGGGCTGCGCATGCTCAGTTGGCTATTTTATATAGCCGAGTAATTAATGATAGCCGTTTTCCGCCAGAAAAAACTGGAAGAGGGAAACAAATTATTGGATCGCCGAAGGCGCTCCATAAGCGCCATAGGCGCGAGGCTACTACTAGGGGGGTCTGGGGGAAAACCCCCCAGAAAATGTTTTCTTCGCGAACACTGTTAATCCGTTTTCCGAGCATCTTGGAGAAGAAAATTCACCGACCTAGTTCCATCGTTTCAGGAGGAAAAAACCTCAAATTCTGCATGACAGACCCAGAAGTAGCTGTTTAATGTATGATTCCCATGTCATTCTCCAATAAAGTTCACTTATTTAAGCACGATTGTTCAGATATTAATTGACGATTCTACCATCGCGATGTATGTTTTGTTTACACGCAGTCATCTGGCAGGCTGCGCATGCTCAGTCGGCTATTTTATATAGCCGAGTAATTGATGATAGCCGTTTTGCCGTCCCGTCCCGTAGCACATTAAAAAAAAAAGAACAAATAATAATCATGCTGTAAAAAATAATTCTGTATAGAATGCACCAAGTCCAGTTATATATTTAAATTCAACAGTTGTTCTCTGAACCAAATACTGAATTAGAAATTGATAAAATGGACAGAAATGTATCGTTCTTCATTCATTACTGCCAGAGTTATGGCCCTTGATCACTTCAAAAAATCTTGTGGACGCTCTAGAGGCCAAAGTTAATATCCGATTGACTTTAAATTTATACACAGTGTTTAAGGTCATGAGACGAAGAAGCCTATTGATTTTCAACAATATCCGATAATTACTGCCAGAGTTATGGCCCTTGATCACTTCAAAAAATCTTGTGGATGCTCTAGAGGCTAAAGTTAATATCCGATTGACTTTAAATTTATACACAGTGTTTAAGGTCATGAGACGAAGAAGCCTATTGATTTTCAGCGATTTCCGATTATTACTGCCAGAGTTATAGCCCTTGATCACTTCAAAAAATCTTGTGGACACTCTAGAGGCCAAAGTTAATATTCGATTGACTTTAAATTTATGCACAGTGTTTAAGGTCATGAGACGAAGAAGCCTATTGATTTTCATCGATTTCCAATAATTACTGCCAGAGTTATGGCCCTTGATCACTTCAAGAAATCTTGTGGACGCTGTAGAGGCCAAAGTTAATATCCGATTGAGCTTAAATTTATATAGAGTGCTTAAGGTCATGAGACGAAGAATCCTGTTGATTTTCAACGATCTCCGGTAATTACTGCCAAAGTTATGGCCCTCGATCACTTTGTGACGCTCTAAAGGCTAAAATTATCATCCGATTGACTTCAGATTGATACACAGAGTTTAAGATCTTGAGACGAACAAGTATATTGATTTTCAATGAATTTGAAAACAAATGAACAGTTAAATCCATGATATTAAAAGTTTTGTATACAAAACGTTAGCATGGGGCAGAACTTTATAAAAACAAAACAAATTCTAATGGTTTTCTGATAATTACTTTATGAGTTGTTGCTCTTAATCAGATTTTAGTGTATTATAAATGTTTCATTACCGAAAAAAGGAAAAATATGCGACAACTCTTGTTGACTGCTGGACGATTTAGCTGCTGTGGGCGTATGTTTCGTTGACTGGCAACCTATCTTTTAGTTTCTTGATGTTTCCTCTTAGGATGCAAGACTGGAACTGATGAACGAGGCTCAGTCCCTTGCCTATATATACAAATAGGTTGTAACAGCGTAGCAAGCTTGTGGCTAGGAACTTTGTTCCTGTATGGTGGTAACATGGTTGAAGGTGCTGGGGACGTACGTGGCTGTAAATGAAAAACTTGCTAAGAAGCCCTTGTGACATTATGTTATCAACTGACTTCCAAGCTGAATGTGGAACGAGCATGTGGAATGCCGTTGCGTTGGAAACATAGAGTATGTCAACACTTACACAACGATGTTGCCGCCTATACTTATCACTGCCACCAGTTCTTTCAATGGTGATGGCAGTGGTTACATCGTCATATTATCGCAAAATGGCTACCCTCAAATAATGACCTACTGAGAAAAAATGTCAACATTGGTTTTTTATATGCCAACATTTTCATATGGACATATATTGTCGTCGCCCCTGTCCGTCCGTCCACAATTGTTTGTGAACAGTCTACAGGTCACAATTTTTATCTGATTTCAATGAAATTTGAAATATAGGTTTATCACCCTAAGATCTCGGTTCCTTTCGATATTGGCATGTATCAGACTGTTACGTCATGGATTATGGCACCTGATTGTACGAAAAATAACATTTTAGCTTGTGAACCTTGTAGAGGTCACAATTTTTATCCGATTTGGTTTAAACTTGAAATGTATGCTTATAACCCAAAGATCTCGGTTCCTTTCCATATTCGCGCATATCGGAACGTAACTTCCTGAATTATGGCCCCTGATTGTATCCGATTTGGTTTAAACTTGAAATGTATGCTTATAACCCAAAGATCTCGGTTCCTTTCCATATTCGCGCATATCGGAACTTAACTTCCTGAATTATGGCCCCTGATTGTACGAAAAATCGCTTTTTTTAGCTTTAAAAAATTATTATTATATCACCGTTAAACTCTAAGGACGGCCGAGTTCGAATTTCGTGAAAATCGGCCCAAAACTGACAGACAAAATGGCCGCTGTTCGTTCTCAAATAGCGTAAAAATATGGTATATCAAGGTTGTGGACCCTATAGAGGTCACAATTTTTATCCGATTTTGTTGAAACTTGAAATGTAAGTTTATAACCCAAAGATCAAGGTTCCTTTCAATATTCGCGCATATCGGACCGTAACTTCCTGAATTATTGCCCCTGATTGTATGAAAAATCGCGTTTTTAGCTTGTGGACCCTATAGAGGTCATAATTTTTATCCGATTTAAAAAAGGTTTTATTATATCACCGTTACACCCTAAGGACGGCTGAGTTCGAATTTTGTAAAAATCGGCCCAAAACTGATAGACAAAATGGCCGCCGTTCGTTCTCAAATAGTGTAAAAATATGATATATCAGGGTTGTGGACCCTATAGAGGTCACAATTTTAATCCTATTTTGATGAAACTTGAAATGTAAGTTTGTAACCCAAAGATCTCGGTTCCTTTCGATATTCGTGCATTTCGGAACGTAACTTCCTGAATTATGGCCCCTTATTTACGAAAAATCGCGATTTTAGCTTGTGGACCCTATAGAGGTCATAAATTTTATGTGATTTAAAAAACCATATTATTATATCACCGTTACACCCTAAGGATATCATATTGTTGGTACTCCCCACATGACGGGTCGTCGTCCACAATTGCCTATGGACACACTAGATGCCTAAGTTCATACACAGTATTTATATCCTTGAGACAAAACCTTTTGATTTTCAACGATTTCAGATAATTACACTCAAGAGGATAAAGTTGATAATTACTGCCAGAGTTGTAGCCCTTGATCACCTTGAAAAAAACTTGTAAATGCTTAACAATTTCTGAAAACTAGGAACAAGTCAGTTTGTCATCTGATTACCAGTACATATTTTGTATAATAAATGTTAGCATCAGAAAAAACTAGAAACCAATCAAAATTGAATAATTTCCGATAATAAATTAATGGGTTCTTAATGGGTTGCTACTCTTTATCATTTTTTGGTGTCCTGTACCGGTAAATGCTCCCATGACCTACAAAAGAATAAATTGCGACAACCCTTGTGGACTGCTTGTACAACTTAGCTGTTTGGTGCCTGTCGACTTATCTTTGGTGTTTAAATTGCTCTAGTTACAAAATGCACCTATAAAATAATTGCACTGCAGCATACTTTACTGAACTGCTTTGATGATTTGTTGTTATATATTTCATTGCCTGGCAACCTTTCTTCCTACTGTTATTGTCATTGTGGACCTGTCTTATGTTATTTTATTTGATATTACTTGTAACTTTTAATTTACTTGTACAGGTTGATGAAATGTTCAGAGATGCCCCAATAAAGAAAGGAGATTTCAATTATTTGGAATTTACAAGAATATTGAAGTATGGGAAAAAAGATGAATAACTGTTTGATAACAAAAATTTTCTTCAAGAGCAAAAGACAAACATTCCTTTATTATGGACCAATAACAAGGTTTTACACCTTAAAGTCATGTTATTGTTACAGCAGGTTTTGTTTTCACAGTATGTTCAGTTTGATCTTTTGATCCCATCAGTATTTTATAAGATTTGATAAAATAAAAAAAAAACTGCCAACAGACCAGATATAATAGTTGAACATAAGATCATTAAAAATTTGCAAACAATTTTCATGTTCTGTATATTTTTTTTATTATTGTCCCCCGCCTTTCGAAGAAAGCAGGGGACTATTAAAATGAGTTCGTCCGTCTGTCTGTCTGTCCGTCCGTCTGTCTGTCACACTTTTTGGGACACAATAACTTTCTATCTAATGGAGCTAGAATGTTCAAACTTAGTGTAGGTGTTTATTAGGTCAATGCCTTGATGGCTTAGGGTAAGCAGAGATAAGCCATTTGATTGGTTGATGCTTTCTAATTAAGTGAGAGTGATGAAACTTGGTGTATAGTTTTATTGCATCAATACCTTGACTAAGTTCAATAATGAGCATTTTCTGCTCAGGGTAAGCAGAGTGATAAGCAATTTGATTGGCTGAGACTTTGGAACACAATAACTCACCTTCTAATTGAGCTAGAATGTTCAAACTTAGTTTTTGTGTTTATTAGGTCAATGCCTTGATGGAGTTCGAAGATGGTCATTTTCGGCTTAGGGTAAGCAGAGATAAGCCATTCGATTGGTTGATGCTTTGGGACACAATAACTTTAGTTCTAATTAATTGAGAATGATGAAACTTGGGTGTATAGTTTCATTACATAAATACCTTGACTAAGTTCGATAATGAGCATTTTCTGCTCAGGGTAAGCAGGGTGATAAGCAATTTGATTGGTCTAGACTTTGGAACACAATAACTCTCATTCTAATTGAGGTAGAATGTTCACGCTTGGTAGGTGTCCATTAGGTGAATTCCTTGATGGAGTTTGAAGATGAGAATTTTCGGCTTAGGGTAAGCAGAGATAAGCAGTTTGATTGTTTGATGCTTTGGGACACGATAACTTTAGTTCTAATTAAGTGAGGACACTTGGTATATAGCCTTATTATATCAATACCTTGACTAAGTTCGATAATGAACATTTTTTGCTGGGGGTAAGCAGAGTGATAAGCCAATTGATTGGTCTAGACTTTGGAACACAATAATTCTCCTTCTAATTGAGGTTGAATGTTCAAACTTGGCGTAGGTGTCTATTAGGCGAATTTTTAAACTTGATGTAGATGTTCATTAGGTGAAGAAGGCTTGGATGGCCGAATGGTTAGCACATGCACGCTGTATCATAAAGCCTGTCATTGAGTCAACTGGCGTGGTTTCGAATCCCCGGTTGTACGTGACAAGGGGTAGGGTCGCCTGTCCAACCTTGTAGGTTTTCTATGGGTCCCCCGGTTTCCTCCCACTGCTAAAGACCCCTACGCGCAAACGAATTATTGAAATAAAATTAAAACCATATATTAGTCCCGAAATGACCTGGTTTGTGTCGAGTGGACGTTAAGCCCTATTTCTCTCTCTCTCTCTCATTAGGTGAATGTCTTGACTGTGTTCAATGATTAACATTTCGCGCTGAAGCTAAGTAGAGCTAATCGATTTTATTTGTCAATGGTTTGGGACAAAATAATCTTGATTCTATCTGATAGAGAGTGATGAAACTTAGTGAAAAAAATAAATGTGCGATCAATTAATATGTGTCATCTATTTATTTTGCAATTTCGGCGGGGGACATTAGCCTCACTGTTGGCTTGTTTTATATGTGGTTATTAGCTGATAATTTGTTTATTTATGGTGAACACTGATCTGGATTGATCTAGCACATGCCTACATTAATATGTGGTTGTATATTATCGTCACCCTCGTCTGTCCTTTTTCCAAATTCAGTTGTGAACGTTCTACAGGTTGAAATCATCTGATCTTTAAATTTACACACTGTGATGAACAACCCTATGATGTAGAATCCTAGTGATTTTCAACAATAAATAGGTAGAGTTATGGCCTTTGATTTGATCAACTGGAAAAATCTTGTGGTAGCTCTAGAGGCTAAAATTGTACAATTGAAATTTATACAGTGTATTTGTTCATGAGAAGAGGAAGCCTTTTGGTTTTCAGCAATTTCCAATAAGTTATGTCCCTTGATCACTTTGAAAAATCTTTTGGATGCTGTGGAGGTTAATGTTATCATCCAATTGACACTAAATTTATACACAGAGCAACTTAAAGAAGCCTATTAATTCTGATTGATTTCTCATAAATACTGCCAGACTTATGGCCCTTGATAACTTCATGTGGATATGCTAGAAACCAATTTTATCCGATTGACATGAATTTTTCATTAGATGAGGAAACCTTTTTCAACAATTTCCATTAACAACTTCCACAGTTCTTGCCCTTGACCACTTTGATAACTTTTTTTGTCCCATCCGAACGACTAGACAGCTGTCCTTGTCAGGCCCTCTGTCCTGCATCACTGACAGGGTGGGGGGAACCACGCCGAAAAATCTGGATGCACTTTCTAGGCCAATGCAGGGATCGAACACGCAACCTCCAGGCTAGTGAGCCAGCATCTTACCCACTTAGCCTCCATTACCCTTCTACATAAGGATAAATATGCAACAACCCCTGCAGACTGCTCAGTTGATTTACCCGCCTGCCGGGGATGTATGTTTCACAGCCTGGCTACCTTTCTTATGTATTCATGTCATAGAAGTTCTTGTTACCAAGTTGAATTTATATATTCCAAATCAGCTTACAAAATTTTGTAAATTGCTCTTTGCTTCTGCATTGAATAGTTTTGTTATAGAGAACTGTCTTGGTCAATTCTCTATAACATGGCTCTTAAGTATTATGTTGGAGGAAAAAAAATCCCCCCCCCCCTCCCTTGATGTCTTCAATTAGAAAGTGATGTGATAATAAAAATTCTCAGACATGATGTATTTTATTGAAACCCACCATGGCTGTGTGGTTAGATAAAGATAAAAAGACTTGAACATAGATATGTTGTTTGTGTTTATATTTCGTTACAGAACAATTAGGTGCAAACCCATTCCAATTTGTAGCTGACAAATATTCCCTGTTACAATATTATTTGTTGTCTACTACTTGTGTTCTAGTGACACTCTTGTCTTTTCCCTTTACTTAAAGGACAATATTGGTGCCAGTCATTATCACATATGTGATAGAGCTGGTTAAACACATTCCAAATATCGTAGCAATGATCTCTGTGGTAAAATTATATTTGGAACGTGTTTAATTAGTTCTATCACATATGTGATAATGTCTGACACCAATATTGTCCTTTAATATCACAACCCAGTGTGAGATAACATCAGTTTCTTATTGCAATCAAAAATATAAAGTAAAAAAGTTAAGATTTCTTCCTGTGTTTTCCTCTTTTCTAAACCAATTCAGGAGGGGGGGGGGGAGCGAGGGGGAGGGGTAGATGGCCATAGGGTTAGCACAAGGTCTGTCATTGAATCAACTGGCATGGTTTCGATTCCCACATGACAATGAGTAGGTTTGCCTGTCCAACCTCGTGGGTTTTTCCAGTCCTCCAGTTTACTACACTGCTAAAGAACCCTACGTGCAAGCGAATTATTGAAATAAAAATGAACCATATGTTAGTCTCTGATTTACTGCCTTATACAGGTGAATATTAATAAATTTGAGGCTGAAAGTAAACATGTCAATATAAAAACATTCCTCCCTAGGTTCATCATATACCTTGTGTAGTACTAGTAGAACATTGGATCCATTGGCCTACAAACCTGGTTGGTTAGGGGGGAGGGGAAGGTCAGAAATCGAAGACCATAATAACATGTCCGTCTCGCCGTCGAAGCGCTGTGTGGGGGTGGGGGTGAGTGTTACCCGGGATGGAATGAGGTCTCCCTCAGAAAATGTAGGAATATTAGATGGCTGCAATTGCGTTTCCTTGCTTTTTTTGTCTGTAAATACTGCCACCTGAAAGTGATGAAACAAATAATGTTGACCGTTGATGCCCCCCACCCCCCATGGTGACTATTCTATAGTGGAGCTAGACACTATTTTTGACACAGATTTCAAATGTTTTATCTATTAGTCAATTTAAAAGAAATTTCGATGCCAAGTTTTTGTGACTCATTGATAAGCCATGAAATGGAATGAAATTATTTAGTTGTCTTGTTGATGAAGACTAATAATTGTTTCCACCGATTTCATGAGAATGTTGTCTATAATTTATAGCAATTCTTTCTTTTTTTCCTTTCTCCCCTTTTGCATGGCAGTTTTTATACGCCCACATTTTCATGTGGACAAATTACGCCGTCGCTCACCCGTGTCCATCCGTCCACATTTGTTTGTGGACACTCTACAGGTCACAATTTTTATCCGATTTTGAGGAAACTTGAAATATAGGTCTGTCTTCCAAAGTTCTCAGTTTCTTTCGGTATTAGCATGTATCAGACCATAACTTAATGGATTATGGCCCCTGCATGTATGAAAAATCATGTTTATACGCCCACATTGAAAATGTGGTTGTATATTGCCGTCGTCCACAATTTATTGTGAACACACTACAGACTACATTTATTATCTGATTGTTTTGAAATTGATATATGTTGTTGATATTAGTGAGATGAAGAAGCCTATTGATTTTCAGCGATTTCCGATAATTACTGCAAGAGTTATGGCCCTTGTTTCACTTTGTTGTACCTTATGAATGCTCTAACGACAAAAGTTATTATCCGATCTATATGAAATTATACGCATCATTTAAATTAGTAAAACAAAGAAACCTAATGAGGCTGACCTTAAAAATATCTCTGTTTTGCCTAACGCGACCGACTAACTAAAACCACCCCAGACTTGAATTATTTTATTGCACTTTTCTGCGATCTTTTTATTTTATTTTGTGTGTCAACCTGAAATATATCACGAGAGTTATTTCCCTTTACTATGGCTACGGTTTGATTCATTACTGAAACTGGTTGATCAAGACGAAAGCATGTCCATTCCCACGAAATGATTCTGCCTCAATGTCTGTGGGGCTTCGTTTTAAACATGACAACGATATTTTCAATATCCATTTTCGAGAAAAATGAAGGTACAACCCGCACGATCATTAAAAGCGTGTTGAAGGAGTTTCGCACTTCAAGTTCATGGCAAATCGTGTGCGAGTCGTGCATCACGAAAAATCCCGATGTCATTGATTTGTTTGCCAATAAAAAAGACCAATGTTTCCACCCAGAAAATTATCAAGCTGTCAAATTAGCTCTTAAGTTTAATAAAAACTTGTAAGTTCGTTCCTTTTTACGTCAGACCCAAAATTCATTAAACAAAATTAATGAATCTGTACAGCTAATAAGTTTTCTGTATTGATTTCTCTGACTTTAAAAAAAAAATCTGAAAAAAAAACCGACCTACCGACCCTTCTCCTCGATTGTGGGTCGGGTTTGGTGAAACAAAGATATTTTTAAGGTCAGCCTGAATTTCAGCAATTTCCGTTTATTACATCTAGAGTTATGGCCCTTGTTTCACTTTGTTGAATCTTTGTTGATCATCCAATCTGTTTGAAATTGATATGCATCATTTAAATTTTTGAAACGAAGAAGCCTATTTAATTTCAGCAATTTCCGTTGATTACACCGTGAGTTATGGCCCTTGTTTCACTTTGTTGTACCTTGTTATTATCCGATCTGTATGAAATTTATATGTATCATTTAAATTAGTAAAACTAACAAGCCTATTGAGTTTCAGCAAATTTCTGTTAATTACATTTGTTGAAACTTGTGAACGCTTGAACGACAAAAGTTATCACCAAATCTGTATAAAATTCATATGCATCATTTAAATTAGGGAAATAAAGACGCCCATTGAATGTCAGCAATTTCCGTCAATTACTTCTAGAGTTATGAAATTTATATGCATTATTTGAATTAGTAAAACGAAAAAGCCTGTCGAATTTCAACAATTTCTGTAGATTACTTCCAGAGTTACGGTCCTTGTTTTAGTTTTTAGAACGTTGTGAACCCTGAAACGACGAAAATTATAATGTCATCTGTATGAAATTGTCTATTAAATTCCCCTAATTACCTACAAAAGAATAAATATGCGACAACCCTTGTCCACTGCTCGGGCGATTTAGATGCTGTGGGCGTATGTTTTGTTGCCTGGCAACCTATCTTTTTAGCTTGTGGACACTCTTGAGGTCACAATTTTCATCTGATTTTGATGAAACTTGAAATGCATGTTTATAACCCAAAGATCTTGGTTCATTTCGATATTTGCCATATCGGATCGTAACTTCGTGAATTATGGCCCCTGATTGTACGAAAAATCCCTTTTTTTTTTAGCTTGTGGACCCTGTAGGTGTCACAATTATTATCTGATTTAAAAAAAAAAAGCTCGAATATATTACCGTTACACCGTAATTATGATTGAGTTCCAATTTCGCGAAAATCAGACCAAAACTGCCGAACAAAATGGCCGCCCCTCGTACGCATGTGGTGTAAAAAATGGCAGTGGCTATTTGCCACATGTGGTAAGCAAGAATTTCAAAATAGCCTTACGACTACAGACCACATTGTTACCCGATTTTAATGAAACTTAAGGATTATGATAACATTGATAACATCTCTGAGTAGCAAAACTTTCGGCCACTTCCGGTTAGCGGTTTCCGAGATATGGGGGTTACCACACATTTCATGTGGCACGGCTACAGACCGCAATTATGAACCGATATCCATGAAACTTACAGAGTATGATAACATTAATAATATCTCAGAGTAGCCAAAATTTCGACCACTTCCGGTTAGCAGTTTCGGAGAGATCAGGTTACCACATATTTCATGTGGCACGGCTACAGACCGCAATTACCAACCGATTTCAATGAAACTTGCAGATTATAATTACATTAAAAATATCTCAGAGTAGGCAAAGTTTCGGCCACTTCCGATTAGCGGTTTCCGAAATATCAGGTTACCACACATTTCATGTGGCACGACTACAGACCGCAATTAACAACGGATTTCAATGAAACTTACAGAAAATGATAACATTAATAATATCTCAGAGTAGTCAAAATTTCGACCACTTCCAGTTAGCGGTTTCGGAGATATCGGGTTACCACACATTTCATGTGGCACGGCTACAGACCGCAATTAACAACTGATTTCAATGAAACTTACAGAAAATGATAACATTAATAATATCTCAGAGTGGTCAAAATTTCGACCACTTCCGGTTGGCGGTTTCCGAGATATCAGGTTACCACACATTTCATGTGGCACGGCTACAGACTGCAAATACCAGCCGATTTCAATGAAACTTGCAGATTATAATAACATTAATAATATCTCAGAGTAGGCAAAATTTCGACCACTTCCGGTTAGCGGTTTCCGAGATATCAGGTTACCACTCATTTCATGTGGCACGGCTACAGACTGCAAATACCAACCGATTTCAATGAAACTTGCAGATTATAATAACATTAATCATATCTCAGAGTAGGCAAAATTTCGACCACTTCCGGTTAGCGGTTTCGGAGATATCAGGTTACCACACATTTCATGTGGCACGGCTATAGACCGCAATTACAAACCGATATCAATGAAACTTGCAGATTATAATAACATTAATAATATCTCAGAGTAGGCAAAATTTCGACCACTTCCGGTTAGCGGTTGCGGAGATATCAGGTTACCACACATTTCATGTGGCACGGCTACAGACTACAATTATCAACCGATATCCATGATACTTACAGAATGTGATAACATTAATAATATCTCAGAGTAGGCAAAATTTCGACCACTTCCAGTTAGCGGTTTCCGAGATATCAGGTTATCACACATTTCATGTGGCACGGCTACAGACCACAATTATCAACCGAATTCCATGAAACTGACAGAATATGATAACATTGATAACATCTCTGAGTAGCAATAACCAACCGATTTCAATGAAACTTGCAGATTATAATAACATTAATAATCTCAGAGTAGGCAAAGTTTCGGCCA